AGTTTTCCTTCTCGACAGACGATGATTGAAGGGTTCGTCAGTTTCAGAAAATCTGGCAAATATTCGCAAGTAGAACTGACTGCAGACGGACCGTATCAGTCAAAGCTGCAAAGACTGGTCACTCTAACTGGGGCGCCGCATAGCGCCGCCACTGGCTCGTGGTGACTGCTGATGCATTGAATTCGGGACATTCGGGACGCCTAGCTTGGGCAACCCTGGCTATAGCGGCTATAAGTGGATTCATGGAATCTCATGGAGCCCTTATATGAACTTGTTTCGGACGTTGATTCACATGACTTTTGTCTGCGTTTGTGATTGCAAAGCTGCACATATCCACGGCTGGGACCAAGACAACTCTTTGGTGCCCAGCACTTGGCCAAGCTGCTCCAAGCTGTTCCCGTCATTTTTTTCGAAGTATTTCAATATCTCTTTACGCGAGCCTTGAAGCAGTCTCTAGATCATGGGGGCAGCAGTAGTATTGTGGACCGAACAAGGCACCACCGCTGCGCAAAGTGTGCATATTGTGCGTGTAGTCATGCAACCGGAATGAACTGCGGGCACGCACGAACGATAGGCAGGAATCTCAAGAGACCGGAACACTGCGTAAGGATGCGTACGGTTGTTTTGAAAAGTCATGGTGTTGCCGACCCTACTGTGCAGTCGGAGCACAACGTTGACCCGTCGATACAATCATAAACATGCATAAAAGACCAACAGTACGTGTTGTGAGACCTTTGCTGTTGCAAAGATTGCGCAATGCTTCTCAGTTCGCCCTCTTTGGTTTTTTTGGAAGTAATACCAGGTAAAGGAGTCACAAACATGTGCTTGTTGTCGTAGTTGTACATGGTTGTGCTGTTTGGATGGTCGACCATCGATCTTGTGCTTTGCTCGTTCTCAAGTCTCCCTTCTCCCTTTCACTTTCAACTCTCCCCATTCAGTTGCAACACAAGGGAAGGAGGAGTGAACACGTGCTGCACAACACAGCCAAACAGGCCTTGAGACCACAGTAGTTCCGACGAAACAAAAGGGTACAAAAGCAGAGGATGGACCAGGTATTGTTTTCTTTGGGGATCTTTGGGGTTGTGGATTTGGAATCAGGAATGAACATAGCAGCGCACCTTGTCGAAGGAAGTTTAGAAGTCAAACTTCCGACAATATGAAAAAGCAGTCAGCAGGGAGAAGAGTCAGAAGAGAAAAGATCAGAAGAAAGAAGATGCAGGTGCGCGAAAAGGTAGGAATGTCGCGAAACACTGTGTTTTTCGTGGTTTTGTGGCTCCGGAGGGTTGAAAGGTAGGCTCGCTAAAGCGGCGGGTGCGGAGACATCTGGGGAGATGAGAGATGAAAAGTTGCACGCCGTTGTGGCGCGAAGCCGATTTCGAAGTGAAAAGGTACAAAACACCTCAGCACCGGACCACTTTTGGAAGTTGAGATGTTGAAAAAGTGCATGGCGTTGTGGCGCGAAGCACATTTGGAAGTAAACTGTGTTAAAAACTGATGGGTTCGGAGCAGTTTTGGAAGTTGAGATGTTGAAAAAGTGCACGCCGTTGTGGCGCGAAGCACATTTCGAAGTCAAAATGTACAAAACACACCATTCTCGGACCACTTTTGGAAGTTGAGATGTTGAAAAAGTGCACGCCGTTGTGGCGCGAAGCACATTTCCAAGTCAAAATGTACAAAACACCTCAGTGTCGGACGACTTTTGGAAGTTGCGATATCGAAAAAGTGCACGCCGTTGTGGCGCGAAGCACATTTCCAAGTTGAAATGTGCAAAACACTAGGGGTTCGGACCACTTTTGGAGGTTCAGATCTCGAAAAAGTGCACGCGGTTGTGGCGCGAAGCACATTTCGAAGTCAAAATGTTAAAAACACCAGGGGTTCGGACCACTTTTGGACGTTCAGATGTCGCTTCGCTTCGCTTCACTACACTACATTACACTACACTACACTCCACTACACTACACTACAGTACACTCCATTACACTACATTACACAACACTACAACTACAACTACACAACTACACTCCACTACCCTCCACTACACTAAATTACACCACACTACGCTACATTACACTACACTCCGTTACACTACATTACACTACATTACACTACACTACACTACCTTCCAGTACACTTCACTACATTACACTACACTACACTCCACTACACTACAACTACAACTACGCAACTACACTCCACTACAATACACTCCACTACACTACACTAAATTACACTACACTACATTACACTACACTCCACTACACTACACTACATTACACTACACTACACTACCTTGCACTACACCTCACTACATTACACTACACTACACTCCACTACAAATATAACTACGACTACGCAACTACACTCCACTACACTACACTACATTACACTGAATGACGCTGCACCACAGATAGACAGGTAGACAGGTAGACAGATAGACAGATAGACAGATAGACAGATAGACAGATAGACAGATAGACAGACAGATAGATAGATAGATAGACAGATAGACAGATAGACAGATAGACAGATAGACAATAGACAGGTGAAAGAGAGAGAGAGAGAGAGATAGATAGATAGATAGCTAATTAGATGAAAGAGAGAGAGAGAGAGATAGATCGATAGATAGATAGATACATAGAAGATTGGTTGGTAGGTAGGTAGATAGTCAGAGAAAGAGAGAGAAAGAGAGGAGACCTCAAGCACCTTTCGGTCCATCAGTGGCTTCGCTCTGCCATCCCTGATTCACAACAACCAATCTCTCCTATAGGTTTTTTATTTTTGAAACTTCCGCCACCGCCTTGTGCGGTACCACTGGTATTTTACAGTGATTTATGTTTCTTTAACAATAACTCTTGTTGTCATCGGGATCAGGTCAACATTCAAGCAAGACTTTGCAACGTATCAACCTCTGCCTTCAAAGCTCTCATATGTTCATATATTTTCTTCGGCCCTGCTGTGTTTTCTTCAGCCATTGTTCTTCGTTTTGAAGAGTTGACCCAACTTCTGCACATATTTATGTTGATGTTGGAAACGGAAACGGAACTGCCATGAGCGACAATGCAACATGTCAACAACAGCAACAAGTTACATGGACCCTTTTAGCCAACAGTCTTAAAGTCGTCGGGAACGTTTTTACACCTCCCAAATCACACACCCTCCACCCACCCCCCTGTTGACAGAAGCGAGCATGTGCAACATACATGTCAACAACGGCAACAAGTGAAATGCTCAAAAAGGAGCACAGCAGCCCGCCTCGAGGCGTTGGCTCCAAGAACAACACTGGTGAAGCCCAAGGTTGAAAGCACCTAAAGCTTTGAGGAAAGCTGCAGGCTTGTTTTTTCCTCAACGGAAATCACATGTTCTCTAGCAGCATGCCGAATTCTTCCCGGCAGACCATGACCTAGTCTGACGGCGATTGAGGGAGAGAGGGGGAGAGAGGGAGAGAGAGAGAGAGAGAGACCATGGGATTTCTTGAGTTAAAATGGAAGCTTCGATGAGAAGTTTCCGATGTACAGACATGTGTCAAAAGACAACCTTCGTACACCGGCAGCACTAGAAAGCTACAGCTACACAACACAACAGCCAGCACTGCGGGCTCGCAAGTCAACTCAATAGCTAAATTTAGCTAAATCGTTTGTTGATTATGGAGATCGGGGTGACACATGTGACACTGAACAAGCGTGTGAAGCCCGAGTTTTTGCTAGCTCTACGTCAAAATTCTAAGCTGGCGCAGCGGGGACGCTATGCATATTATATTATAATATGTATATATATATATTATGTGTATATATATATATACATATTGAACATTTTTTTACATCACGCCATGCTTTAAACATCACCACCTGATCCTTCCACCATGTGCTCCCAGTGTGATTTCTCGCTTTAGCCTCAAACTGGGTAATTTGACTTGGCACTCGCCGAATGCTGCAGTTTAGGTGTTTGAAAGTGGTGCCAAGATCAAGAACACCTGCGTGCCTTGCAGAGCGCTTCGCTTTAGAGTTCATCGCTTTGTTTGACAGCATGACAGCATGGTCAATAATTATGTCTAAATTAGAGAAGGCAAGGGGTCCATGCGAACTACAGAAAACATTCACATATTTCACTTGGCTAGCAATTGTTGCTGGATCGAAGTAGTGTTGACAAGGTTTGATGATTCTGGTCATGACCTTGATCAACCGTTTTGGTGCACATTCGCTGAGCACGTTTGCGGCATCGACATAATGTAGCAGCAGGCGGCCTTGTCAAGTTGTCATTGGATTCAGCTTATCAGCTTTATATATGGGTGTCTAGAGCTTTCTACTAGATACCCTTCCCCCACTGGTTGGTTTAATGGTCAAATAGCCACCCGTATTTCCCACAGCGGTGGGTAAATGGTACCCACCTGACCCTTTTCCCAAAAGGACATCGTTGCTTCAAGTTGCTTCTATTTTTGTTGAGTTCATTTTTGAGGCTTTATGAAGTGAGCCATTGGACCAACCCAGAGGTTGATACCCAGGTTTGCTTTGTTCAAGGAACGTAAAGCTGCCCGCCCATTTCATCATGTGCAGGTTTGCAGCAATGCGAGTTGAGTGCTAAAACCTTTCCAAAAGTGCTCAAAGTCACAGCCAGTTGCAGTACCAGATGTACCAGTGGCCCGTGGCATATGACACTACTCAACTATAAAAGTTCCAGCCGTACTGAAGGGCAGGCAGCGTTGATCGTATGTTGCCGACTGCATACCCCAGTCAGCAAGCTTCGTAAAAGATATCCATAGCCCATAGTAGCCATAACCTCCATAGCAAAAGATGATTCCTCACACCAACCTCCTATTCAACTTGAGACATTTCTGAGCATCTAGGGCTTGAAGAGGTTGGCTAAGGCGACGTCAGCCCACCATATACATTTAGAAAGACCACACAACAATGAGGACAGCCATAAAGATGTGAGAAGATTCATGAAAAATCATAAAGATTATTAAGTCATATTTAATCATATTCGATATCCATTTCTATCAAGTTTCTATCCGCGCCTTGCATTTTGATGTCGATTGTGGAGAGCTGCTGGCTGGGGACCATACAGCCGGAGCTGTGCTGCACATCCCCAGAAGGTCGCGCCTTGTGTTTCCCAGCTGACCAGGACTGACCAGAATAGCCATGGCCATGGATGGTCAGTACGGGTAGGCAACCTTGATGGAAGAAACATTTTCAAAATCAAATAGCAGCGCGTACAACATACATGTGTGCCATTCTGACGGGGTTTCGTCAAGACTATCCCTGTCGCGCATCCACATAACACGTGCGGAAGAAAACACATAGGGCACCAGCTGTTTGTCAAATCTTGGGCCTGGCACTACCCCATAAACAAGTGAGAAAACAATCGCACAAGTATCACGGCAGATCATCAGCCACCAAATATAGATATATATATATATACGTATATAACATGATTTTAATATATATATAGATATACATATAGAATACCGATAAACAAATGAGGAAACAATTGCATAGGTGTTGCGGGAAATCATCAGCCACAAGCAAACGTGCAAAAATAAACAAGATATAAACAGCAAGATATATATATATATGTATGTATGTATCTATGTATCTATGTATCTATCTATCTATCTATCTATCTATCTATCTATCTATCTATGTATGTATGTATGTATGTGTGTATGCCTGTATGTATGTCGGCATGCATGCATGCATGTATGTAATGTATGTAATGTATGTAATGTATGTAATGTATGTAATGTGTGTAATGTATGTAATGTATGTAATGTATGCAATGTATGCAATGTATGTAATGTATGTAATGTAATGTAATGTACTGTAATGGTATGGTATGGTATGGTATGGTAATGTATGTATGTATGTATGTATGTATGTATGTAAGTATATAATATTATATAATGTAATTCATGTATGTATGTATGTATGTATGTATGTATGTACGTATGTACGTATGTACGTATGTACGTATGTACGTCTGTACGTCTGTACGTCTGTACGTATGTACGTATGTACGTATGTACGTATGTACGTATGCACGTACGTACGTACGTACGTATGTACGTATGTACGTACGTACGTATGTATGTATGTATGTAATGAATGTAATGAATGTAATGAATGTAATGAATGTAATGAATGTAATGAATGTATGTATGTATGTATGTATGTATGTATGTATGTATGTATGTATGTATGTATGTATGTATGTATGTATGTAATGTATGTATGTACGTACGTACGTACGTATGTATGTATGTATGTACGTTTATGTACTTATTTACTTATTTGTGTACAAAATATCCAAGCTAGAATATACAGAGGAAATATGAACAAATTGGATGCGACCGAGCCCCTGAGCATCACACCAGGCAGACGGGGCGAAGCAACACAATTAAAGCTGGTGGGAGTTTTTGAAGCCCCTCAGCCAACCATCCCCCTGTGTGAAAGCCACAGCACATCACACATAACGAAGAAGAAGCGGTGCAGCACCATGCAATGTGCGCGGAACATGGCAGAAAAGCTGAAGGCTGCCATTGGCAATCCCAAAGGATTTGTTGCAAATATCAGTATGAGAAAAGGATGTACTTGTATGTACTTGTCACCATATGTAAGCCTCGAACTATGCCTTGGGACAATAGCTCTTCAGACATGGCTGTCTTAGTTTTAGTTTGGAGCCATCTCAACTAGACACAAACCATGAAAAGCTAAGACATAAGAGCCAGACCAACATCCCGCAATGCTTTCCTCCAAATGTAATCCTCGTCAGAAGTCCCCCGCAGGACTTTACCTTCTCAGCTTGCTGTCTGGAGCTTAGGATCAAACAAATATGTTTCAAAAAAACAACATGTATTCAAATACTTGGTCAAATACCCTCAAATATTGCATGTGGTTGCCACCACGTCACCACCACGTTGGCGATTTTGTGTCAGTTGATGTCAGTTGACTTGTCCTTTAAATAAGTGCCAGCAGCATCCGGCAGCTTGCCGACGGCATCCTTTGCTGCCAGGTGCTGACTATTTGAAGAGCCTGGAACCAGAGGTGCAGGGGACCATTACATGTGAAAGCTCAGGTCCAACATGCAGTTGGATCTTTCGAAACGCGCAGATCTTGGATACCTCAAACATGGCGGCGGTGCATCAATTTTGCTGGGCAGGATTAAATCGTGCTGGTGTTTATGCAGAGATGATGCACACCCCTGCCTTTGACCGAAGACTTGCTCATCTCTCATGTTTCCCAGGAATGGCATTCTTGCTCTCCATGTGTGCAATTGCAGAATCCTCAAGTTCATGTGAATCCACTGGATCAGCCCCAAAAACCTCCATGCATTCAATGCATTCCGAAGATCCTGCATTAAGTTTCTTTATGGTGGCCTTCAAGGCTTTGGCAATGGTGAGCCATTGTATTGACGCAAGTGATTGGCCCCTGACGGTGGCGGAGTTCTCCGCAAACTTTCAACTCTTTGTAGAGCACGGGCACAGCTGCGGATTTCAGTGGATGCAGCCACGACGTGGATTGCCTTATGTCAGTGGAGTTTCTGGACAGACTCTGCATGATGAGGTGCCATCACATCGAGGCATTCAGAACCACGCGGAAGTGCATATGCGCATCAATTGGGCCATGGGAGCCTGGGATAACCGAATGTATTGGGAGGAGAAGATGAGAAGAAAACCGGAGCAGCTTCTCAACATGAAGCACAAAGATCCGCAAGAGTTATGTAGCCTCATGACCATGACGAATCTTGGCAGAACGGAGGCGGTGTACCAATCATATGCCAGTGACTATTCTGCAACTCTAGCAGCTAGTCACTAGTCGCCAGCCCAACGGACAAGCATTGCTGAGAGAGAGAGAGAGGGAGAAGGAGAGTGTGACAGAGCCTCATTCAGATGCATGAAGGTGGACCACATAGACACAAACTGAGAGGGATGAGCAGTGAAGTTTTCCAGGGTGCTCATTGCAAGTTTCAGGACTAGGTTAATAAGTTAATAATTTGCTAATCACGAAAGCTACTGTAGCTTGCTAGCTGGAGTTGGATTTGCTTTGGCAATGAATTAGGGGCAGACTGGATACGGCCTCCATGATTATCATGTCGAACTGGTTTTGGGACCCCGACGTTCGGCAAGATTAATCATTTCGAATCATTAACCCCCCGCCCGCGGGCTCAAACCCCGCTGCGTCCATCCCGCTGAATTTCCTGGGTTTCATTTGCATTCATTTGCGACCAGGCGTTCGCATGCCCACGCTTACAGATATGAAAGACAATATTCACCCTGAGTGTTGTGAATGTAATGCAACGCAATGCAATGTAATGTTGACAAACACAGCAGTCGAATACATGCTATGCATCCAGAAGCACCAATATGAACCCTATTTGACACATAAAATGGTCATGGGTGATACCTTCACGCTGCAAGAGTTGGTGAAGGTATCAAGCGAACTGGAACTCAGCCAAACATAACACTGTAATATATAACCTGTAATACACGCCATGCACCCCAAAGCACTGAGATGAATGACATTGGATACAAATGATTGTCATGGATGATACCTGCACGCAGGAGGATTTGGTGAAGGTATCAAACAGGATAGAAGTCAGCCAAACACAGCAGTCTAGAACATGCTATGCATGAGGAAGCATCAAGACGACCACCATAATCTACTCTACTCTAGTCTAAATCTAATCAAACCTAATCCAATCCAGTCCAATCTAATCGAATCTAATCTTAATCTAATGTGATGTAATGTAATGAGAGAACAACCATGAACAACCACTTGGATTCTTGCACTCCTTTCTCTCAAGACCTTTGCATGAAAACATGACCCAGTCTTGACGAAGAAAGATGCGCATTTTAAGATTCCCACCCGTTTCTTGCTCGATGGATGTATGTACCCAAGTCACCTGTACCAGATTCTAAGCCTGTGTTATTTGTTTATTGAAGAATGGATCTGGCGGCGCAGCCTTTTTTCTCAAATTAATTCATAAGTTGAAATGGAAATGGTCCCGCCATATTCTTTCAATAATTACACCTCTTTCCTTGCCCAACTAGCTTTCGTCCCCTTCCCTTTGGCCTCAATATGTTGACTATGTGTATGTCTTGACTTTCTTTGCTCACGATGATCATTGGAGATATCGCTCAGGACTGGTCCTGAGCTTCGGGTCCTGATTTTGGGCACTGGACCGGTAGCAGCCCAACCCCACTTTCAATGCCCCCACGGTGGCAGCATCTCAACGACCTCCTGCGACGCCTTTAGCCGCTTGTACCGGGAACTGGCAAAAGAGAGTCAATTTCGACCGCCTTATGGATTTCCAGAGAAGCTTGGAGAACAGTTGGTTCAATACAGGGAAGTTATTTAAGATTATGGTTATATAAGTTATATATGGTTATATAACATACGTAAATATACGGACGTAAGTCTATTTATGCAGTTATTACATTCATTTTGTTCAAGTTTGTGATGTTTTTTTCATTCTATTCATGTCAATTTTGCCCTTTGGAGTTCTTGACTCCTTGACTGAAATTTGCGACTTAAAGTCGTCGCTTGATGAAAGTTGCTGACCTGCAATTTCTGCATGGGACCACTTTGATAGTCTACATTTTGCTGAAACGAAGATCCAGTGATTTTCAATATTGTTGTCAATATTCCACCAAGGTATTGTGATGTCGAAGAGCTTTGGCAATTTTTTCCAAAAAACTATTTCCACGTGGTCTTTGTCAGCAATGCATTGGACCACACTGTTCATCCCATACGTGGCCTAAAGTTGCTGCTATGGGTACTTCATCCAGATGGAAAGCTGCTGCTTCGTCATTTCAGGCAAATTACCTTGCTTCACTTGCTTATCTGATTATCTTGCTTCCCGTATTTCAATCTATTTCACAGTTTGTCGATGTTTGTCGGTTGTATGTTGTTCTTATACTTCGTCGCATCGCAGGAATGTACATCCAGAACGATGGATGTCGTTGTCTGATGGGCAGCATCAGTGGGGCTTCGATGTAGACCTGGGCCCGAGTGGATCCTTGACCACTTTGATTTGCACTGCATTGCACTGCATTGCACTGCATTGCACTGCATTGCACTGCATTGCACTGCTGCAAATGAATGTAAATGACATGTTTCTTAAAATCTCGGCCTGTTTGACTATACAATTCCACACAATTCCTGACTGCCGTGACTCTTCAATTTCAATCTCTGGGTCTGGGAGTGGTGCGCTGGTTTTCGCCGAGCCCAAAAACCGGAACTCTGCCGAACGCTGAACCCCATCCTGAAACCTGGAATCCCGGAACCTGTTGGGCTGCAAAGCTTAGTTTTGATATGTTTTGATTTGATTTGTGCGATGGAATCTCAACTGAGGCGAGCAAAGCTTCTTTATTTGGAACCATTTACATCGCTGGACGCTTGCTTGCGTGGAATGTCCCACCATGTCCCACCCATCCCCTAGCAGCCCTAGCATGACACACAGGTCATTTCAACTCACTTCATGCTGGATATTGCGGGTGGGTTTACGATGGTTTACGGATGTCCAAGGAATGTCACTCAAGTCCTGGAAGAAGATGGTGCCACAACCACCTCAGCTTTCTTGAAGCCCTTTGAGCCTCAGCACCAATTCGTTGGATCGTTGGAGCATGGACTCCACAGAAATGGCTAGCCAAATGTGTCTCTGAGATGCGTCTTGCATGGTCTTGGATGGTCTTGGTATGTCTGATTTTGTCTTCGTGTTCTGGCGTAAGATGCTGTGAGGTTGGCTGCCGTTCCTATCGGAATGTGGGACTGGGTGACTCTTTGTGTTTCCTGTGACATTTCTGTTGTTAAAAATATTAAAATGTTTGGCGGAAATTCGTGCTTTCCAGGTGGAGGTTGAGGTGCGCAAGACCACGAGCTTCAAACACAGTGTGAGGCACACGTGAAAAATAGATCCTGCTTCCGTCGTCTTGCGAAAGGCAAACAGAAGCAAAACCCGTGTGCAGAATCGGATATGTAACATATGTAGGTGGTTATTCTTCTGGCAAGACATCCATGTTGTAGTTCGAATGCATATGTTTCAAAGAATTCTTTATGTTTTTTAAAGATTTTGTATGATTTTGTCCCAATGACCCAATGTTTGCTCTTTCTTATTCCACCATTTGGCTCCAGTCGGTCCAATCAACTCATCGCGTACGTCTCGGTCTCTTGCAATGGCGAAGCCACATGCTACCCTGATTTTCTCTCGCCACGGCGAGTCCCAATGGAATGTAGACAACAGATTCACTGGCTGGGTGGATGCCACTGTGCTCAACGTATCTCAACATGCTTTTTTCTTCATTTCAACACAAGCACAGAGATCGTCAATGAATAATTATATATGCCCTAGTGACATGTACCTTCACAGATATGTAAAAATATATCGATCGGGCCCAAGGTGATCAGGGTCAGAGTTTATTTGAGAGCAAAGGGAACAAAGGATAGGGAAGTACTATGAAGATCTATGAAGTACTGGTTCCTCTCTGGCTTGTGTGTTATCCCCATAGCAGCTATAGCAACTGAGGTGGATTTATCAGCAAAAGGCTTGGGCGAAGCAAAGTCCGCAGGAGGTCTCCTTAAAAGTGAGGGCATCAAGGTGGACATGGCTTTTACCTCATATTTGAAGCGCGTCTTGGCTCTGTCAGAACATGCGTTTTCTTGAATATTTGGATGGTTTACGGATGTTTCGATGTTTTATGCGGAAATATGTGACAAATATGACTGCTATATGACTGTTATATGACTTATAATTATGACTGTTATATGCGACGTTTGCTGCGATGTCTGATGGATGTGCGGAGGTGCGATCAAAACCTGCGACCTGGCGCTGGAGGCAGCAGATCAGCTGCACGTCCCGGTGACGAAGAGTTGGCGCCTCAACGAGCGAATGTATGGAGCCCTCACTGGTTTGGACAAGAAGGAGACGCACGGGAAGCTCAGCTCAGTATTCATCACTTAACTCTGTTGGTAAAACCATGTAAAATATTGTAATTAAAATAGATTGATTAAAATAGTTGTATCCTAACGATCTGAAGATCTTCAAAGGGTAAAATTAGCAAAATGTGTGAACTTGTAAGTCGAAGCTACGGTATAACGCAGCTATGCAGCTATGTGCAGGAGACCGTGAAGAAGCACGGCGCGGATCAGGTGCAAATTTGGCGGCGTAGCTTCGACATCCCGCCACCTGACATTGATGAAAGCAGCGAGTTCAACCCTGCCAAGGAGCTCGTCGTTGAAAATGTTGAACTCACGAGTGCTTGCAGCATCTTTTCCAGTAAATCGAGTGAGATGAGACTGCACCTTTGATACTGCAGGTATTTTTAAGATGTTGTAAGTATTGAAGTGATTTTTATTGATAGGAGGTGTGGAAGCAATGTTGCATGATGCATTTTGCTGAACAACAAGCTACTAGAGGGAGACCGTTAGTAACGACCGATGTGTGCTGTTTGAGAAATCTTCGAAGCACCGCTAGGTGTGTGTGTGTGTGTATGTGGAAGTGGGAGGCCACATGTTTTGACATGTATTTCACCGTGAATTTCACCTGTGCACTTACCATGATTACGACTTGTTACGACTTGTTCCTGTCAAGGAGCGGAAGTTCCTTAGCTGCATCGCTGTTCTGTACGGCCAGATCCCGTACCTGCGTGCCTGCGCTACTGACCGAGGTACGCTGCTCTTAACAAGGCAGACATCCCAAAGACCGAATGTCTTAAGGATACAATTGCACCTTGCAAGGCGAATTGCGGATGATTTTGAATTGCAACGGGAATTTGGCCGGACTTGGCCGGGTTTGCACATGGGTATTGAAGACCGCTACCATTTTAAGCCCTCGAAGCCCTGTTGTGGGGGGTCTACCCTACATTTTCTGGATTTCATAGCCCCGATTGTAGCATGAAAGTATGCGAAAAGGATTGAAAATGCAGCTAAAAGAGGCGTCGACATGCGTCAACTATTTAGTATCTTAATTTTTGCCGTGTTTCTTCATACGTAGGTCATCGTAGGTCCAAAAACAGTAGTCTATATGTTTGACTATGGCAAGGAATACTGTAATATACTGTAATTAGTAAAGAGGATAGGGATGTTCAAGCGTTTCACGAGGCCAGACTACACCAGATTCGTTTGGACCAAGGGTGAGAAGTTTGGAAGTTGGAGTATCAACACAAAGCCCCTTGAGATGTCGCCAACAATTGCCAAGATATGCCAAGATGTGCCAAGATGATTCACGAACGCCCACAAACTATCACAAACTGATCATGGCTAAGGCCCGGGTTATGCCCTTTTGGGAGGAGACCATTGCCCCAGCGCTGAAGAGCGGCAAGACGGTATTCGTCGCCGCTCACGGCAACTCCATTCGTGCAATTCTGAAATTCCTGGAGGGAATTTCAGACAATGATATTACAGGCTTGGAAACTTCGGACGTTTCAGCAGAACTTGAGAGAAATCTCGGCATGCGCGTTGCTGCCAGCATGGCCAGCATGCAGTGCAAGATACTGTAGCCCTTGAACTGTTAGGCTTGGAAATCCCCACCGGAAGGCCGCTGATGTACAAACTGGATAAGGACCCGGACTGGCTGTGGACAACGCCACAAGGCAACGCCACAAGGAACTTGCCGTCTTGCCGTTACCGAGAAACCGATCCTCGCCTCCCTGCGCCAACAGAACGCTGCCAGGAGCTCAAGCCGATCTCCTGCGATGAGGCAATTGCACCTCTGAAGTTCGGAAAGTATTTGGGTGCCTTTGCGTTGTTTAGATTTGTTTAGCACAACTTATCCTACTTTGTTTTGCAGTAGCTTACAGGCTTGCCATGGCTTGCCCACATTCATTTTGTGGGTTTATGGATGTTGGATGTTTATTTTATATCTTCGGATGTTTTTGCTGTAGCTGTAGCTGCTAGTAGCTGTCTTCTGTCGGATTGAGGCAACCTGGATGAGATCAAGGCTGCTGCAGAAGCAGTGAAGAACCAGACCAAGGTGGCGGCGCCGGCGGCAGGAGCTGGGGATCCAGCCCAATCAGCCCGCATTTCTTCAGCTTTAGCTGGTGGCGGTACTGCAAAGGTAGGCATCAAAAATGAAAAATGCCGGTTGATGCTTTCCAGGAGGCGGAGACAGCAAAATCATGGCAGTGAAAGCCCGAGAGATTTTCGACTCCCGGGGAAACCCGACGGTCGAGGTGGACTTGTGCACCGCGACAGCTGCTTGGCACATCTGGGTGCCGGTCAGTGCTAGTAGGGAATCATCTCTCAAGTTTGAAAAGATTGTGCAGGCGGGTCTAATGTCATTAAAGGTCCAAGGCATTGAGAGCATACAGCCTCCCTACGGAAGAAAAATCCCAGTGATTCTTCGCTATCATCAACATGATTCCACTATTTGTTCACTAAGTATCTCTCAAAGTTGAGCGCAGTTGATTGTGCAAACTGTGCTAAAATAGTTGGCAAAGCTGCTCATGGCAAAGAGCTCAAGCAGCTTGCAGATGCTGCAGGCGCTCTTCCGCGCAGCTGTGCCGAGTGGTGCATCCACTGGCATCTACGAAGCCTTAGAGCTGCGAGATGGCGACAAGAACCGATTGCTAGGCAAAGGTGCTTTGGTGTCAGGCCATCAAATACCTTCTCGACATGTACGTTATGACCTTCTATGACCTTCCATTGTTTGCTTCACATTCAATTTGCTTGCAAACCTCTTGTCAGTTTTACTGAAAGTTAGTTAGAGTTGCAAGGGAAAAAGTGGTGAGCTGCTGTAAAGCTCAACATGCTTTGGAATGGCTACGTGGCCCTGCTGTCTTTTGGACATTGAGGTGTTCTGAAAGCTGTATCCAACGTGAACGACATCCTCGCACCTAAGTTGGTGGGCTTGGATGTGACAGATCAGGCCAAGATTGATAAACTCATGGTTGAAGAGACTCTTGGCCTGCAACAGTTGGCCACCATCAGAAGCCCATCTTGGAGCCTTTAAAAGCCACCAACAGTTCAGGTGGTTCGAGTGGTTCCTGTGGGCTCCTGTGTGGGGGGACCTTGCAACAGACAATGGTATTTCATTGAAATTCATATTATTTCCAGACAACCTAGGATGGATGTCCAGCTCTGATTCCATTTCAGCAACGTGTTTTTGTGACAGGTATAGAAAATAGCGAACACATATCAAGAGAGATCAAGAGTGTATCGCGCCTGATTTAATTGAGATATCATGAGCCATGATGATCATGAGCCTTCAGGGATGCCCCCGTGACATTTTTAGGATCGACGGTTCCAAGAATGAGTGGGGCTGGAGCAAATCCAAAGTCGGTGCGAATGCCATTCTGGCCGTGTCGATGGCAGTCTGCCGGGCTGGTGCTGCAGCAAACGGCATGCCACTCTACCAGTACATTGCACAAGCCTTATTTGAAAACGCAGTGGCATACCCGGCATACCGCATACAATGTGAAGGACCTTGCATCAAAGTGCATCAAACACCTCCCAGCCCCTCCAGCCCCTCCAGCCCCTCCAGCCCCTCCAGCCCCCAGAACTGAGGCCAAGATTTCCGGAAAGCCCACCGATAAGTTCGTGATGCCCGTACCATCCTTCAACGTCATCAATGGTGGAAGCCACGCTGGAAACCGCTTGGCCTGCCAAGAGTTCATGATCCTCCCTGTGGGTGCATCTAGTTTCAAGGAGGCGATGATTATTGGCGCAGAGGTGTACCACAACCTGAAGAGTGTCATCAAGAAAAAGTATGGCCAGGATGCGCCTCGGGATGATTTTGGCACAAGCACAAACTGCACGAACTGCACAAACTGCACAAACTGCAAAACACTGACCTGATGTGTTCGGAAAGTCGCGGAAAGTCGCAGAAAGTCGGACTGAGGCATGCAACGTTGGCGATGAGGGTGGCTTTGCACCAAACGTGCAGGACAACAATGAGGCTGGGGAAAGGCAAAATCTGCATCCATGGGTGTTGTTTTCTCCTGTGTCAACGCTTATGTCACCGACTGCAAGTTGTGCAAGGCCTTGGATGTTCTTATGGAAGCAATCGCCAAGTCGGGCCACAGCGACAAGGTCCAGAAGCGAGGATGATCCAAATACATCTCAAGACTGTATGGTTAGAATTCGGGCTGTCAGGTTTGTTAATGATGAGCATTTGCATGGCGTGTGCTGTGGTGCAGCTAAGCTGTGATGTCACTGTCGCAAGCGCAGGTGAAGATTGGCACAGATGTTGCAGCTTCCGAGTTCTACACTGCGGAGAAGAAGCATTACGACTTGGACTTCAAGAATCCAAGCAGCCCAGCAGATGCTTGAAGCATTAATTGTGAGGTGTGAGACTTGCTGACGTGAAGCAATGTACAGGCCCTACTGGGCAAACATATTGCAAAAACTTTGAAGTAGTGGGCCAAGATATGCCATGATGCCGAGGAGATGAAGAAGACTGCTCCACAGCTGGCAGATTATTACAAGGCATGGCTGGACAAGTACCCCTTCGTTTCCATCGAGGATCTGGCAGGGCTGATGATGAGCGGAGCGGAAAAAAATGAAATTGTCATTTCAACATATTTCAACAAACAAATCTCGTCACGAAGTGCTTGGAAACCTTCGCAACTAACAGCGTTTAAAAGCTGCAGGATCCCTTCGACCAAGACGACTGGGATGCTTACAAGCACTTCATGGGCGAGGCAACTGCACACGACAAGTGGCTCCAGGTCAATCTCAAGACATTCAATACGGAAGCGTTTTAGTGTCTCCAAAGCGAATTAAGCCGCCCAAATCATTACATAGTGGATGCAACAAATGCAGACATTTGTGTAGACATTGTAACAATATGTAACACGTGTAGACCACAGGAGAGAAAGTTTGTGCAGGGCATCAGTACCGTATGTTCAGATCATTTCAGATCCATCACCTGTGGCCTCACTTGGCGGAAGGTGGGTCAGCGTGTTCAAATCGTGGGGGATGACCTGCTGGTGACAAACCCAACACGCGTCAAGAAGGCTGCGGCAAGTGAGATTTTTAGGAAAACGAGCCAAGGAGAAAAGGAGAAAAGCATGCTCTTCATATCTCTTCATATCTCTTCATACCTCTTCATCTTGAGAAAATCGTATCTACGTCCCAACATTGCTTTTGCTACCAAAATCGTGCGGGAATCCTTTCTTCTGAATTGCAGGCCTTGGAGGTTGGTGCCTGCAACGCACTGCTGCTGAAGGCTGCTCCTGCAAGCTCAGAACACGATAGGTCGGTGTTCCCGAGATAACTTGTAACATTTCACCTGCCTTTGCACTGTAGGTTGCACCGGCCGTTGCGTCTTATTTTTTAGTGTCAAAAGCATTCCCGGTTTTTTTTCATTACCATGCATGTGAAGTGTTGTAAAATGATGTAAACTGATGTATGCTGGTGCATTCAGGAATGCATGTGGGCAATTGCTTTTGCAGAATGATGCGAGGTGAATCAAATTGGATCCATCACAGAGGCAATTGAGGCATGGAGAGCACATTTATCAATGCGAATCTCATAAAGCATATGTATTGTAGCTTTGCAAGGGAACACCAGCGTTTGTCAAAAGCCTTCCAAAAATTCTCGGGCACGGGGCAGGCTACGGACAATCGGTTGAGCCATTTTCATCAGCTTGCTTTGTTGTACTCCAACGCATTGAATCCTGAAGAGTTTGGCTGCGTTGCGAGACCTCTTGTATCCACGGTGTGGCGCGATCTGAAAACTCCGCTTGGTTTGCTGCTTGAAATATCTTGAAATCTAAAGCTCGTTTGCATATTTTGCATTGCAGGCTGCAACAATGTCTCAGAACGCCGGATGGGGTGTCATGGTCTCGCATCGGTCTGGTGAAACCGAGGACTGCGGGGGTTGAAAGCCAATGGATACGAATGGATACGAATATCTTGAGTTTGGGCTTTGGCACCCAAAGGTAAGAACTAAGAACCCTGGGCGGGGGCAGTGCCAAGAGATTCCTCCGGCATGCTATCTTTGGTGTTGAGGACTCTTTCATTGCTGATTTGGTTGTAGGCCGGAGCTTCTCACATTCTGCTTCAAATGTGTGTGACGATGTCATGCGAAACGTTTTTGATTTCTGAATCAAAACTGTTTGAGGCCTACGTACCGGACAGATCAAGACTGGAGCGCCATGCCGATCCGAGCGACTTGCCAAGTGCCCTCGTGTAATGATACACCTTTGAGAAAGCCGTCAGAAGGGTCATTGATTTGGGTCCCGCGACTCACCATACACTGCCTGTATAGGTTTGTCATGGTTTGTCAGTTTGTTTTTTGGCAGGTGTTGCATCTTTGTGCCTAACGATTCACCCCATTTCATTTGTCTATTTGTCCTCCTAACATCTTCTAACCATCAGCCCAAAGACCTGTCTATCCATCAGTCTTTCCGCACTCTTTCCAGTTCCACTATGAAATTGCTCTTCCAACTATACTGCACTTATTTGTTCTCAGGGCACGAGGGTATTATTTGCATAGAAATCTTCATGCATATACACTGGCACGTGCGCGCGCGCGCACACACACACCCATGATCACATAATACATACGTGTATGTGTGTGTGTGTGAATGTACATACATATATATATATATAATTATATATATATATTATTATTATTTATTCATTCATTTATTTGTTTGTTTAGTTAGTTAGTTAGTTAGCTAGTTATTTACACCCTGGGGGTCGGGTGCTATTCTTTGTTTAGTCGTTTGCACGTGACGGTCTAAGCTTTGGCAGTTGTCAGGTGGGGTCAGGAGGCTATTGAGATGCTCCAATGGTATCCACGGTGTAGCTGGGGCCAAGGTAAATGTCACCTTTTGGAGGGAACCCAGAGTTTGCAAGTGTTAGCAAGAATCTCAGCTTAAATCATATCAAGTTATACCATGTATGGTGCGATTTCGGAATTGTTCTTGACATGGTCCAGTCACCTTGCCATATCTTGCGCCGAAACTAAAACCACGTGAATTTGGACGAAAAATAACTACCCAGCATGCAATCCCAATAGCAAGGCTTCATAAGGCTTCATAAGGCTTCATAAGGCTTCATAAGTCTTCATAAGGCTTCATAAGGCTTCACAAGGCTTCATAAGGCTTCAAAAGGCTTCACAAGGCTTCATAAGGCTTCATAAGTCTTCATAAGGCTTCATAAGGCTTCATAAGGCTTCATAAGGCTTCATAAGGCTTCATAAGGCTTCATAAGGCTTCATAAGGCTTCATAAGGCTTCATAAGGTTTCATAAGGTTTCATGAGGCTTCATAAGTCTTCATAAGGCTTCATAAGGCTTTATAAGGCTTCATAAGGCTTTATAAGTCTTCATAAGGCTTTATAAGGCTTCATAAGGCTTTATAAGGCTTCATAAGGCTTCATAAGGCTTCATAAGGCTTCATAAGGCTTCATAAGATAAGCTTCATAAGGCTTCATAAGGCTTCATAAGGCTTCATTCATAAGTCTTCATAAGGCTTCATAAGGCTTCATAAGGCTTTATAAGGCTTCATAAGGCTTCATAAGGCTTCATAAGGCTTCTTTATAAGGCTTCATAAGGCTTCATAAGGCTTCATAAGGCTTCATAAGGCTTCATAAGTCTTCATAAGGCTTCATAAGGCTTCATAAGGCTTCATAAGGCTTCATAAGGCTTCATAAGGCTTCATAAGGCTTCATAAGTCTTCATTCATAAGGCTTCATAAGGCTTCATAAGGATTCATAAGGCTTCATAAGTCTTCATAAGGCTTTATAAGGCTTCATAAGGCTTCATAAGGCTTCATAAGGCTTCATAAGGCTTCATAAGGCTTCATAAGGCTTCATAAGTTCTTCATAAGGCTTCATAAGGCTTCATAAGGCTTTATAAGGCTTTATAAGGCTTCATAAGGCTTTATAAGGCTTCATAAGGCTTCATAAGGTTTCATGATGCTTCATAAGTCTTCATAAGGCTTCATAAGGCTTCATAAGGCTTTATAAGGCTTCATAAGGCTTCATGAGGCTTCATAA